ATGAGCATGGTAAATTAAAGTATGGGAAGAGAATGGAAAATGGAAAACATAAAACAACAGTAGACAGGGGAAAACACCATATGATGGAAATTGACCTGCTAAAGAGATTACTGAATAGAATTGACCTGTGGACTGAGGGCCGGAGACATGAAGACTGAGGGCAAGAATTACATTCTGACAGCAAAAAACTTGAAGGAGGAGAAAACCCGATTTCTGATAGTGAGATGCCTGTGGGGCTGAGAGGTCTGCAGGTAAGAAAATGTAGGGTTGTTGATTAATGATAATTTAGTGATAATGATAATTCTGCTCAAACGCGTTAAACCTGTTGAAATAGAACTACTAAACTTTGAGGATTCTTCAAAACTTTAATCTCACAAGGTTTTGGAACCATTAAAATATCATGCAATACATGTATTATATGAGCTATTTTGTTGCTATAGTTAAATGAAAGACATATTTAGTGAAAACAATATCTACTGCTAGTCAACGTGTACAAATTTTTAAAGCTTGTGGAGACATGGCACCTACCATTAGTACAAACTAAAACATTTCCCATTATTTAAATATATATTTTTCAAGTTCGCTTTATTTATAGACGGGAGACGTGTCACTTATTAGCGTAGTTCTAAGGACAATACCGCATTGTGAATTTTATGAACAAGTTAAATTTATAGTGATACCGGAACGTGATGAAAGAAATGGCACATAAAAAGACAGCAAGAGAGAAAACAGAGAAACAATTGACCTTTTAGTAACAGTGCAGCAGATTCAGTAATATAAAGAACTATATTTTAACTCTGCCACGATGACATTTCCCCTTTAAAATCCCAGCTCCCCGTAGAATTGGCCACTGAAACAAACTTGCTGGGTAAATGAACATTGTGCACTAATCTCTGGGAAACAATAATAAAAAAAAAAATACAACAGGCAAAGTATCTCAGGGAGAACAGATGGCTGAAATACAGGAGCATTGTGCTAAGCTGTGTCCCTGTGTCACAGGATATAGATAGAGAGTGACAGGAGGAACAAGTGACAGTTATGGAAGGGACAGGTGACGGGGCTCAGGGGAGACAGGCGAGCAAACATGTAGAAGAGCTGGTGAGAGGAACAAGGAAAGGTGATAAAGAACTGGTGAAAGAAAGTAAAATGCGGGCAAATTCTACAAGTTAAAGAAAGTGATATTGGACAAAAATATGTTCTTGTTAGACAACAGTCTATCTTGCAAATATTCTAAACAAAACAATAAGTACCAACAATTGAATAAAATACGTGAAGGAAATGCTTACAACGCAAGACAAACTAAAAAGTATTAAAGCAACTGCCACATTTGAGTTTTTCATAAAGAATCGATGTGAACAACTTATTTTGCTGATATTTCCGTGAAATTCTAATTCAGTCAGAGGAGTCAAATCCTGATAACAGTTGCAGTGGAAATGGGCAGTGTCACGATCGCCCTTGCTGTGACAGGCAGGGCTTCTGCCACTATATCCAGCAACTTGCTAGAAGCCATCACATGCAAATGAACAAATGGAACTTTATATCCATCAAGTATTAAGTATGTTTGTGGATGCCCCAAATACTAATGTGGAACAAAAGACATACATACATGCATGCCCTAGTTGTATTTTGAACTTTTGTTACTGGCACTTCAAGAAGACATTTGTCTGTGGCTGGGAATCATTGAATTCTCAGTGGGAATCATATCACCAAAGCTGTTCATCCTGAGCAAATCTAATTGCTCAAAAAAGTGTGAGTTAGATTTCACTTTTTTGTCTGGAGGCGTGGCTAGCTGAGACACAGAGCAGATGTGCATGTGTGGTGCTCTGGCTCCACACACCAAAAAAGAGGCCTTATTGCTGAGGACAAAACCTCAAACGAGAACCCACAGAGTCCGTTATACACCCCCCCAAAGTGCAATGGGGCGCAAGCATAAAAAAAGGCTCGCCCAGAGAGTGTAAATCACCCAGACAACTGACTACCTTTGACCGACCACAGGCCCGAAACAAATAGCGCCGGGGAGGCCACAAGGCTCAAGCAACTCCAGCGATTCCATGGACGACAAGAGATTGCCACAAATTGTCAGAGGAGTATACCTAGGGGTAGACTCAGTCTTAGACACTTCTCCCTCTACGAAAGGGGACATCAAAAAACTCCTCCAGGATCTAAGAGCAGTTTGGAAGGCAGACCTAGCTGGGGTGCAGACAAAAATGACCAGGCTGCAGTAGCAGATTGTCCAGAGAGGAAAATTGGGAGCAATGTCTGAAAGACACCCACTCCCAAGTGGAAACACTCACACAATAGGTCCAAAGCCTCTCCTGTATGGTGGCATCACTTGAGGCAAGACACCACCGGAAAAATGTCAGAATCCGAGGAGCACCGGAAACAGTGGGCCAGAAGCCCTACTGGACTTTGCTCACAAGGTGACATGGGCAATGGGGGTAAGAGGGGAAGGAGACTCACCGCACTTCATGGCAGCCTTCAGAATAAGGAAGGCACCGACCGCCCCAGTGGACTCCCCAGAGACGTTATTGCAGTGACCCGGGACACAGCAGTGAAATCGGCCATTATGGCCTGTTCCAGAAATTACCCCAGCGTACATGTAGACAACTGCAGGATTACAGTCTATGCGGACTTACCCTTCCCAGTGTCCACATATATTGCTCGGGGAGCCTGTGTTACGGGCTCTTTTATTGTGAGTGTATTTTTTATATTTCTTTTACAGCTTTTTTTTCACAATAATACGTTATTGCCTGCTACTTTTCTTTTGAGGACCTGTGTGTTATCCACCATTGGCCCAACGGTTGGCAAACACAAAAAATACCCACCTGCTGTTGGATATATTTCACTGCATGCTACAAATACCAGAGATGGTCATAAGCTCTAATAAATGTGAGTGAGCATTCTCTAGCTGCACATAATTTATTGTCACTTTGCGTACAGCAATTTGCATGATTGTTTTTCTTTTGTATTTGTATGTACCTGACTGTGGACCTAGCCCCATCCTACTGTAATTAAGAATATTGGATGTAAGAAAGTTGTGGACTATACTCAGTTGGATTATTTTCTCTTCTATCTGGTATTTGGAAGAACTTGTATTTATTTTTGTTGTTTTGTTTGGATATACAGGTAGATGTACATGAATCTTTGCTTTGAGTCTATTTACTTCATTTAGCACCTGCTTGGTTGATTCTGGTTATTCTCAATCCCCATGCTGCTTTCTTCCATTATACCAAGTGAGATAGGGTGCCTATTGCCACATTTTCACAACTCTTCTCACTGCACACAATAGTGATTTATCAAAGGCCTGAGCAGGATGCTACTTGGGCATCTATAGCTCCCACATATCAAGGCCACCACAGAGCAGAAATAGAAAATTTGCCACCAGCTAGATAACCTGGCTACCCCACTAAATCGCCAGTGAAAGGTCAGGATGGGGGACAAGAACAGGACTAGAGAAGGCCAGAGAAATTAAAATTATCTCCAAGTGGATTTTTAGTCCCAGTCCATGCAAGATTAAGGATGACGAAATCTGTACTCAAAACAAGTTTGGCACAGAAGTGATCTACAAGTATTGAGGAGAGAGAAGAAGAGAGACAAGGTAAGCCTGCAATAAATATGCTATATACTTGCATTGTGAAAATAGCAATATGCTTACCATGGCTCCAATACAGAAAGGTTAAGGTAATCGCCTGGGAAATATTTATTTTGCAGGTTTATCTCCCAATCCTTCATATTAAATCTGATTTGTGATGGGAACTAGTAATACATCTTTTACTAATATCGAATACTGGCTTGAGTGTCACATTATCTTTTTACTCTATTCACAAATGCAGCATGGCTGGCTGGACAGCAAATATATGGAGGTCAGATGCTGTGTTTGAGGAAAAATACCACAGCTAGGACCAGGTATTAGTGTAGACTAGAATGAAACCTGGACACTTTAACAAAGTAGCTTCATAACACTGTCTTTCTGAACTTCCAATTATACATTTACCATGGGCAGGACCAATGCATGGACTTGTGCCGCCCTAGGCAAAAAAAATGTTGCCGCCCCATTTCCCAGGCGATTACCTTAACCTTTCTGTATTGGAGCCATGGTAAGCATATTGCTATTTTCACAATGCAAGTATATAGCATATTTATTGCAGGCTTACCTTGTCTCTCTTCTTCTCTCTCCTCGGTCTTCACTCATGAAGACCGACATACACTGACCCAAGCAGACTAACGCACACACCCTGAAGAATGCAGATTGACACACACACATACACACACACTGATGAATGCAGACTGACGTGCACACACACACTGATCCATACAGACACACACTGACCCATACAGACAAACACAGCTTTTTGTGTGTTCCTGGCTGCTTCCCTGTTCCTGGCTGCCCCTGCTATGCTCCTGCCCACTTGTCCCCATGTACAGGGCAAGGGGCAGGAGTGAGAAATTGAAGTGCCCTCGCAGTGTTGCAGCAATGGGAGTCCTTGTGGAGGGCCTGGTTGAGCAGGCTGAAGTGGATCCTGCCGGACCAGTGTTACACTGGGCGCTAGTCAGCAGCAATGTAAGTGCTCCCTAGTTCCCAGTAACATGGCCGGCGGCACGATTTGTATAATTATTCAAACATAGAGGGATGGCCAAATGAGCAGAGTAGTAAAGCTCCTGCCGGCGCCCCCCTTTCAGCAGCACTCTAAGCAGCTACCTAGTTGGCCTATAGAAAGCGCCGGCCCTAACCATGGGCCACAGAGATAAACAAAAGTAGGTAGAGTTCACAAGCCAGACAGGAGTATTTAACAGCTAGCATTAAATGAGCAAGAGATATGCATCCCTAGAGTTTAATTGAAATAAAATACTTCTGGTAGTCATTTATAGTGCATGGGTTCTAGATAACGAGATAAATGGTGTTGATGTGATCACTTGTGGCAAATACCTAGGTTATGAAGGAACTATGAGTAGTTATAAGCATAATAAAGTAATAGAGCAGGGTTGCCCAAAAGGTACATCCCCAGATGTTCTCAAACTACAACTCCCATGATGCTTTGCATGCCTTTAGAATGACAAAGCACCATGGAAGCTGTAGTTTGAAAACATCTGGGGATCTACCTTTTGGGCACCCCTGTAGATAAGAACCATTCGGCCCATCTAGTCTGCCCAATTTTCTAAATACTTTCACTAGTCCCTGGCCTTATCTTATATCGAGGATAGCCTTATGCCTATCCCACTCATGATTAAACTCCTTTACTGTGTTAACCTCTGCTACTTCAGCTTTTGATGGCTATTCCATGCATCCACTCCCCTCTCAGTAAAATAATACTTCCTGATATTATGCTTAATCCTTTGCCCCTCTAATTTAAGACTATGTCCTCTTGTTGTGGTAGTTTTTCTTCTTTTAAATATACTCTCCTCCTTTACTGTGTTGATTCAATTTATGTATTTAAATGTTTCTATCATATCCCCCCTGTCTTGTCTTTCCTCCAAGCTATACATGTTAAGATCCTTTAACCTTTCCTGGTAAGTTTTATCCTGCAATCCATGAACTAGTTTAGTAGCCCTTCTCTGAACTCTCTCTAAGGTATCAATATCCTTCTGAAGATACGTTCTCCAGTACTGTGTACAATACTCCAAGTGAGATCTCACCAGTGTTCTGTACAATGGCATGAGCACTTCCCTCTCTCTGTTAATACCTCTCCCTATACAACCAAGCATTCTGCTAGCATTTCCTGCTGCTCTATTACATTGTCTGCCTACCTTTAAGTCATCTGAAATAATTACCCCAAAATCCATTTCCTCAGATGTTGAGGTTAGGACTCTATCAAATGTTCTGTAGTCTGCCCTTGGGTTTTTACATCCAAGATGCATTATCTTGCACTTATCCACATTAAATGTCAGCTGCCAGAACTCTGACTGTTTTTCTAGTTTACCTAAATTATTTGCCATTTGGCTTATCCCTCCTGGAACATCAACCCTGTTACATATCTTAGTATCATCAGGAAAAAGACATACCTTACCATCAAGACCTTCTGCAATATCACTAATAACAAATATTAAAGAGAATGGGTCCAAATACAGATCCTTGTGGTACCCCAATGGTGACAAGACCATGCTTCGAATATATGCCATTGACTACAACCCTCTGTTGCCTGTAAATCAGCTACTGCCCTACCAATTCAACAATATTGGAATCCAAGCTTAAAGATTGCAGTTTAGTGATAAGCCTTCTATGTACAACAGTGTCAAAAGCCTTACTGAAATCTATGTAAGCAATGTCTACTGCACCACCCTGATCTATTATATTAGTTACTTAATCAAAAAAATCAATAAGATTAGTTTGGCATGATCTCCCTGAAGTAAACCCATGTTTTCTCTGATCTTGAAATCCATGTGATTTTAGATGTTCAACAATCGTATGGTTTCCATTACTTTCCTTACTACTAAAGTAAGGCTTACTGGCCTCCCTACTACCTTTCTTGTGAATAAGCACAACATTTTGTAACTTACAATCTTCTGGGACTACTCCCGTTTACAATGATTGGTTAAATAAATCCATTAATGGTTTTGTTAGTACACCACTAAGCTCTTTTAATAACTTTGGGTGTATTCCATCAGGTCCCATTGACTTATTTGTCTTTACTTTTGACAGTTGAAATACAACCTTTTCCTCTGTAAACGCACATGTAACAAATGACTCAATTGTCTCTTTTCCTAACTGTGGTCCCTTTCCTCCATTTTTATCTATAAATACTGAACAAAAATATTCATTGAGGCAGTCAGCTAGACCTTTATCCTCTCCTACATACCTTCCTTCTTTTGTTTTTAATCTAACTACTCCTTGTTTTACTTTCCTTTTCTCATTTATGTATTTAAAATTCACAATGGATTCACAAGAGGTGTGTGGATGGTGTTCAGTTGGATCACATTCACAATGGGACAAATTCACATTCCCAAAGGACAGTCAAAGAACCCAAATCACTGCATCTTGTGGCTTCTGCCCCATTTCTTTCACAAATGTAAACACTCTCATTTGTAAGGAATGACAATGCTTACATTTGTAAAAGCAGAGACCTCTAGTAGCTGTCTGGTTGAAAAAGTAGGTTGTCATGTTTGTTGTTATCAATCCCGTATGCTAATGCACAGAGATGCGTCTGATCACACAAAGAACGTATTAATGAAAGTGTGACAAGGGAAAAAAGAAAGTCATATTAAGAAAGTGGATATCACAATGCCTCTGCTGCGGTAGATTAATTTGTGTTAATGAAAGAATTATATGTTTTTATTTAAGGATATTATGACAATTGGCACAGCTGTGGGTTATTTCACTATTATCCCAAAGAAAGTCTAGCACAGAGATGCATTTCAAATACCAACCTAATTATGTGTCTTACTATCATGGATCATCATTCTGATTTGTCAATCACTCTTTGACTGAGAATCATACATGACAGATTTCACCTTGCACTACGTGGACTGCAGATATAATAGCCACAGTATATGCTATATATCCAGGACAGATCACAAAAGAATGCTGGGAAAATCATTACTGATTTTCCGGTTTAGAGGTATATCTTTTTTGACATGCGGTCTATGAGTAAGATGACCATACTGACATTTTCAGGGGAGGCTTGTGTACCACATGGCAGCAATGATTTTAATTTATCCAAGCAGTATATATTTCAAACCCATGTCCTAACAACTCATTGAACCCTTTTCTTTTGCAGAAAATGTTTTAGTTTTTTTCAATACAAAATGAGTTGCACCAATATTTGGCCTTCTGTTATGGTTTTGGCCCATTATTTTTATCTGCTTTTTATTGACGAGCTGTCAATCAAAACACACCAGTATGATTTCTCACTTGACAAGTGTTTACATGTGGTGTGTCTCTCTGGTGAACGCAAATATCCATCCACCTGTGGTTGTAATGAATTTATCAATCTGCATGTTTATTTGGTATCATTTTCTCTAGTGCTGCTAAATATTAAAACTATGGGGAAAAAAGAAGGAATCGCTCACCAAATAAGGCGAAAGGAGGTTGTCCTACTTAATAATACTTATACATGTAAAACCATGAAAATGTAATGATCTTTAATAAAAAAGGAACACTTGCAAACATAAAATGTGACACATGTGATTGGATTGTTATTTAAAAGGCCCTAAACTCCCATATATTGTCCTTGGCAAATTTAGTTAATGCAGTTTAATTAATAAATCCAAAAAGATTTTTGTATAACACATATATTCCTTATTCATGTATGACCCATTTTATTTTTCTACGTTTTCCTTTTTGATTAAAGGGTTACTCCAACCCTTTTGGAGGGAGGACCTTTCCAGTGTAAAATACCCTACTGGACACTATAGAGAAGGTATTCCCCTACATTTGCCCTCCAACCTGCAAATAACAGATTTTTACTCACATTGAACCCAGCGCCAGATGAAGCTCCCAGGACTGATCTTTTGCATCCCCTCCAATGCCACTGGGGCCTCGTGCGGTCCAGTCACAAGCTTCTCATAGCCCGTGAGGCGGGGAAGTATTTTTTTTTAAATAACTGCAAACATTAAGGCCAATAGAGGGAGACAGGAGGGAGCAGTACTCTGATTGACCCATTGTCATGCTCTCTTGGTTTGTCTGATTTATTTTTCCAGAATCTTTTTTTTGTTAATGAAATTCAGACAAGCTAATCCGTCATATAGTTAAAATTCTCCTCTCCCCCCCAAAAAAAATATTTTTGGACAAAGTGGTTCAGCTGAAACAAATTTTTTCGCTGTGCACAAATCTTATTCAAACACATTAATATTTCAAATTAATTTTGGGTGTGATTTAATTAACATTTGTTTAACACTTGGGATTATTTTTCTTTTCTCTCTTTTTTTTTTCTACAGCTCAGATAGGTCACATTGCATGAAATCTTTGATTTTATATTTGTGTGTTAAAATTGCAAAAATTGCAAAAATAAATAAATCATAGGGGTTATGGGGAGACTTCATGAATGCTGTTCTGAGGTTGGAGGTATGGCACAAGATAAACAGACTTACAGGTGCCGTGCTCATTGACTGCTCATAGTGTTCAATGTATAATTTAATTCCTAAACTGTTTTTAGGGGTGCCATCCTCCTCCTTGTGGCCATTATGGTTACTACAGATTGAATTTGTGTGTCTAGGAATCTAGGAACTCTCTTATAAGGAACTAGTACGATTTTGTAAATACATTTATTTGAATTTTCTTTCTACAAGAAAATTTGTGAATAGACGTGCAGTGCGGGGACGTGGCATTTTGAAAAAGGAAATATATCACATTAGAAAAAAGGTTTACCCTATATTAATACATCTTAAGTATATATGTGCCCTTTATTTGTTTTGTTTTTTGTTTTTTTGTATACATTGTTTATCTTTTTGTTTGCGTTTGTATCTGATTTTATTTTGTTCTTTGTCTTTTCATCTGTGTATAAATGTATACTTAAAACAAACTGAGGATGCAGAAGACTATTTCATTCAGTTCTATGATTGTTTAAAATTACAAATGTTGTTGTCTTATAAACACAAGGAGCTGTGATTAACAAATCTGTATTTATTTCAACCACATACTCATGAACATGGTTAGGTGTCAGAAATACCAGTGGCTTAAGCCGATAGGAAAACACTGACAGAGAGGTAGCTATTTGTCAGGACATATCCCACCTTTCTATTATGTGTCCTGTCCACTTAACCCATGTACTAAGTGCAGCTGATGATCTTCAGGATCTCATTCAAAGCATAGACGGAAACAAATACGTACTAGTACTGAACAGTCAGGTATTCTATGCAATCCCACTGCACTACCACCTAATAAAGGGGCATGCAGCAAAGTTGTGTTCCCCAACATCCCTTCCCAACAGGCACCTGGTGACATTACCTACTATCCCTAAGTGGCCTTGCAAAGTACAATAGTGATAATCCTCCTTTTTATAGGCGTTTGCATTAATAAAATGAAAAGTGAGATTTATTAAGATGTCATGTTCTGAAAATTGTGCAAAAAACAAAATGTGGAACAAAAAGTGGTGCAATTACCATGGAAACCAGTATAATCAGCAGGCACATTCCAATAGTGAGTCCTCCTATTTTACATGTTGCAAAACTTTTCAGCAAAAGACACTTGGATCAAACTACCTATTATCTCTGTGTACAGGAGAGTAAAATGGTTTTCCCAATCCAAGATACATCCACATAGATTTACCAAATATATGCCCTCAAAAAAACAAAACACTTGCCCAAATCTCACCAAGATTGATTCAGTCATTGCACAAATTTCACCCACATATGAGATGCCACTCAATATTTAATGGACCACTAAAGCCACCCATAACACTTCTTCTCAATGTTGTGGCCTGTGTGCAGTGGCCCCGTCACTCTGAGCCTTCAATGTCAAATATTGCCCTTTTGTAGAACATCATAAAACGCAAAAAAGGCAGTTCATAAAAAAGCATTGCATTCAGTGCTCATTGTGTATGCAAATCTTGTACCCAATGCTCCTCTATGAGGAGCATTGGATTGGACCAGCACACTGGAGGTGATGTCTCCAGAAAAATGTTGAGGGAGGAGAAGTGGAATAAAAGATAAGTAAAAAACTTTTTTTTCCAGCTTTTTTTCAGCAAACAGGAAACTAATCACACGAGGGCACTATAGTATTAGGAATACAGGTTTGTATTCCTAACACTATAGTGTTCATTTAAGGGACACCAGCAGATCAACATTTAGATATTTTACCTATTCTATTGCTGTGGGTTATTAAACATACTTTAAAAATTGGTTAGACTAGGTTGAGAACATCTGTCTTAGATTATTTTATAACTTTCAATCTTCTCCTATCAATATAAATTTCATTATTTTCCGTTGCACTTCCAGATATAACTAACAGCAGTTTATATTCCAACGTGCTGAATGCATGAGTAGATATCAGATTTGTTAAATCCTCCCGGTTCATGATATATCTTCAAGTCCTGGACAATATTTATTTGCTTGTGAGTACGGATCTTTAAGCCCCATAAAGAAGCATGTTACAGTTATAAAACCCAAAATGTAAATTTTGAGATATAAAACCCTTTGTCATTGATGAATATATAAACTGGGTTACTAGAAGAACTATAAAAAAAATGAAAAGAAAAAAAAGTCAGACACAAAAGGAACAAAGCAGATGTGGTATGTGCTCTGCATTATTTATAAAGAAATCATGCGTACACAAAGGAACATTGCCGTTTCAATCTGCAAACATTGTATTGTATTAGCTACTTTATCGACTACAGTTTGACTGTTGCCTGTTCTGGGGGCTCTTGCCTTTAAAAATATCGGGTTTGATGCAGTATAAAGAAAAACATTTTCTCCCCACTCTTTAATTTGATGCTGTTTAAAGTCGACTATTTGGCTTTTATCTTTTATTATATTAATACCTTAATCCAAATCTACACAGAGAAATAAGTACAATAAATGCTATTTTATATCCATTTCCAACCATTTCCGCTGATTATCTCACTGTTCCTTAATTCTTTTTGGAAAAACATGGTTCTATAAATCCACTAAATTTCTCGCCAATAGCTCAATATTTTCTTTTTCTGGATAGGCTTTTCAAATTACTTAATATTTTTGGATAAAAATAGTTTAATGATATGTTTGGATATATTGATTATATTTTGTATTTAATACATATGTTTTGAAAAAAATAATTTAAAAAAAAAGTTTTTACAGAAATATTAATTCATATGAAAATATAAAATCTAAGCCCAAGTAAGCAAAAGTCCTTGCTTTTTCTGGAGTAGTTCCACTTTCTATGTAGACACTCTGTAACAGGTAACAGATTCAGATAATGCTGCTACAGAACACAGTGCTAAATCTTCATTTTGCATTAATAAGCATTGCTATCATCTCTCTCTATGGAATACAAAACACAAATAGCTTTAAGGCTTAGTTTAATAGTCTCCAGAAACTGTATGCGCTGTATGGCTGTCGCCTTAGAGACTCTGGTAGTGCTACGGTTAAAAATCATCAGACTAACTGACCTCTGGGGATATAGCAGGAACCTGTACGAACAAGCACTGTCTCTAATTCTATTTACAATAGAGTTGAACATTATAAATATATAAACAGCTGATGTTGAAATATTTAGTATGGCTGGGTGTGAGGGGAAGAGAGGAAAAGTAAAAGTGAGGGGGTTAAAGAAAGCCGAAGATATGCAACGTTTTGGCAAAATTTTGGAAAAGAGAAAATATGCTACCTAAGTTGTACAGCGTCCTCAGAATGTGTTTCCGCTTTATAAATAATAATGTGTACAACGTAAAATGGAAAATGTGTTGTAGGCCCCTCATTCACAGAGGTATATTTGTTAAACACTGAATTATAGAATTGAATAGAAATGTAAGCTTTAGACAACAAAATGTGACCAAAAATACGTTGGCGAATATTTCCAAATAAGCTATTTTGCCTAGATTTTTAAATTTATGTTTAAGCTCAACAAGTTGGCGCTTTGTAAATTTGACACATAGATACGTGATACTATTAATTTAAAAATTGTCTGGTTAGAGACATTGATGTATGTAACGGCACCCCCAGGCATAAAAGGGTTAAACCGCCGTTTAGTAGATCTTCCCCTTCCAGAGACACAGGCAGCTACTGTAGACACCAATCCACCGAACCGGAGAAGCATATGAATGCTCTCAAACATACGAATGCTGTAAACAGTCGAATAGGAAAAACCATACGAATAGGTTTACACTCCTAGCAGTCGAACTGGAACAGCATACAATAAATCCCCCCAAGAACGAGACAAGGCTCCGTTTTGAGGGTCAAGCAGGAACAGACAGAGCTGTGGGTTTATTGTTCTTATATACACATTCTTACACATTAGTACCACCCACAAGGTTTTGGAAAACAACCAATAAACACATACAATACACTCAGACACTCCCACACAAAATCCTCCCCTCTGCCTGTGATACAATTACCTAACACAATGGATAATGTAATTATCACCGGCAGAGAAATACAGTTTTTCCACATTATTCATAACTTGAAAAGTATACATCACATTCACAAACTTACATTTTCAGAATCAGCATACTCCAAATACAAACATATGTCAAAATCATCCGAATTGGTCCATTGGTTCAAAAGATAGATCGAAGTCCTTTGTGACCAAATGAAGCATGGCTTTTCTGCCTAAAACCAGTTCCACAGAGTCTTCTATCCTGGAGATAATTGAGAAGTAATCCAATTATCTCCAAGGACAGAGGCAAAACTCCATTAACCACATGCCAGTAAAAAGACAGTAAAATACAATAAAATACACAAGGTTATATTTATTACATAAAATACAGAAATGCAACATATCCCCAGATAGCTTAGGTCTGAGTGCACATTATTACTGAATGGCGCTCAGAGCACACACATACAGTTTAATTGCCATGGAGCCAAAGTCTTTCCCATAGTCTTTCATTATACGAATGGGTTCCATGGCATAGCTATCTGGGGTATCACCGCTCAAACAGGGCAAGCACTGAATGACCCGGCTTTCGTGTCTTCGCAGGGGAAAATCACGCGTTTCAACATGGGGCCATAGTCTAAAGGCAACAGGCAAGCAACCAGACTTCTCCAATGCAATGTGGCGAGATTGGTCTCGTCACAATGTAGTTGTTCTGGTGGGACATGTGTGGTATCTTTGACTAAGAGTGATGGACATTTATTTTAATGTATGTTAGGTTTGAAAATTCTGCGCTACTTGCATCTAATGCGGATACTAGGCATTCTCTGAGGTCACACTCGGACACTCCTAGTGTACAGCTATTCTGTGTGGCCTAAATTACAAGAAGAATGTCTTTCTATGAACTAGTAGATTTGGCTCCTTCATTCATGCCAGTTCTTATTAGGTGTTAGTAAGATCTCACAGCTGTGTAATATCAATAGCCAGCAATACAATGAAATGACCTACAATACAGAGTTTCAGTACTTTCCAACAGGTCAGATCCTAAAAATTCTAATTTTGAAGTTTGCAAATAAAAGTCATCTGTCCTTTGTTCCGACACTCAATATCAGATATCTGATCTAGTGTTAATTTTGCAAATTTCAATTTAGTTTTAGTCAGTCTTTTGACTAAAAAATACATTTTAGATTTAGTCATATTTTAGTCATCTGAATCGTTTTAGTTTTAGTCTTAGTCTAGTTTAAATCCAGTAGATTTTATTAAACACAACTAAAATCTAATTGGTTTGGTTAAAGCCCTATCTGTCTTTTTCTGCCTATTCCCAAGCCCCTCTTGGTGTTTCTCTCCCAAAACCTGGTCTGTCTCTTTTGCTCCTTCCACAAAATTTCTGTGTCTTTATGTGTCCCCAGCACCTCTGGGTGTTACCCCCCTCCAAACTCCTGTCTGTCTCTTTTGCCCCTTCCGCAGCACCTCTGTGGCTCTTTGCCCCCCTCCCAACACCCCTCTGTGTCTCTTTCTCTCCATAGACCCATTTGTGTTTGTCTTCCCCCAGCACCTTGTCTCTTTCTCCCCCAGCCCCTCCATGCATCTTATCTCCCCACGTGTCTCATTCCACCAGCCGTTCATGTGTCTCAATTTCTCCCCAAGCCCCTCCACATGTCAATTTAGTTTTATTCTAATTTTAGTTGGCTAAATATCATAAATATAAGTCAACTAAAATCTGCTTAAATTGTTAGTTGACAAAATTAACACTGATCTGATCACCACTGAGAGGAACAACTTTTTTATCAGAATGTCAGTGAAATGGATTTCCTGGGCTAAACATCTGCATACTATCCTGTGGTCTCCATGCATTGCACATGGTGTTTAAATACTCACTGCCACAGGTCTCTGGAACAATGCTAAATGTTATTTTGGAGTGATAGATCACACTTCGCAATCCACCAGTTCAATAGATGTCTCTGAATTTGCTAAATGGCAGAGCGGTACCTGTCTGATTGTTTAATCGCAGCTTTAAAAACCACAAAATTTGATCTACCTTCCTAGAGTCCTAATACTTCAACATCACTGCCCATATTGAATGTCATATCATTTGGTTCTCTCACCGTCATTTTCTATAAAAGCTATTTATGCTTTGATTAGACTTTGGCACAAATCCTAAACCTTTTGGGTTCTGATCCTGTACTTTCCTACTGGAGACTTTTGAATTTAGCTGAGTGACTTGAAAAGTGTTTGCTTTTCCGTCCTATGTCACATGGGAACCCATATTTTATAATAAATAAATCTGTAATTTCCCCAAATGGAACTGATTCCATGTAAGGTAATTACATTTACTCCATTTACATTGGGACCTTATTTGGGCTTACATTGCTTTATTTTGGTTTTAAATATATAGTTTACCTTGGTCTGTATTATTCGTAAATATTAATACTTAATGTGAACTCCATTTTTCTTTCCTCATGTTAACTTTTATTTTACATTGTTATTTATTCTCGTTGTTATACCTAACTTGCCCACCAGATTAGATCTGGTCTTGTTGATAATTGTTAAAGGGGGTTGGGGATCACATAGACATTGTATTGTTTTGAAGGAGTAACTTTTTGGATCAGGAACTTGAGACCTTGTGACCTTAGCTATTATTATAAGGGCCTGGGTGGCATGGGATCTCTTCTACACCCCTAAAAAGAATGCACAAGCAGATGAATGGAGGAACAGAGGCAATTTGGTCCCTATACTGTATAATCAACCCAGCAGACACGCAATGAAAGGAGAGGGCTTAGTCATCAAACACCCCATGGTTATAAAGGGAATCTTTGTTTATTCTTCTATTTTACCTGCAGTACAAAGGGCTGCTCAACTCTTGATTTAATGAGGGTTGCCAGCTTAACCCCCAGAGTCTGTGCATGAAGTAGGGCACAAGAAAGGATCTTGTTCAAGGTCCATTTGGTCATCCTGAGGATACTGGAGATGTTGAGACCGAATTTCAGTTATCTATTTGTGAGTATTCCTGTATTTTCTGTGAGTGTCACTTTGATGCTCTAACACACAAGGCAGGTAAGGTTAATTATATATTTTTACTTTTATGGGGTTGCTAAAGTTGTAAGTAGGGTCCTTTACTTCTATAGCTATAAATTGCTGTGTACCTCAGTTTGATGTTAAAGGAACCTCACAATAAGCTCTATGATTGTGGAATAAGCTGTTCAGTAATCCATATAGTGTAATATATGTAGGTTTTACACGGATTTACACACAGAAAATAAACCATGAATCCCACTGTGGATACCAAGATCACGCTATAGTTGATTGTCACCATTGAGTGCATCTATTTGTGGATAATCAGCATTATGTGTAGACATATCAGGAAAACAGCACTGTGTGAAATAAAATACAGATGATCAACTTTTCCGATGCTATATATGTATACTTAGCACTTTAAAGGGAAATTGTCATTTTGCTGCTCCCCTCCTCCACTAGTGCCGATGGTGAGCCAGAAGTCCTCTGTCTGAACTAAGCTCATTGGCTGAGATATCAGCTGAGTGGTTTTTATCAACAAAGATGTTATTTTAGCTACACATGTTCCGAAAAGACAAAAGTTTGTATACAAGCGAGCAAAAAACAAAGGCAAGGTAATTTACCTGATGTATTTTCACACCTTAGCCTTAATATCTATTTATATTAATGTCAAGTATGGATCTACTCTTATGTATCTCATTCATGCAGTAAAAGAACAGAATAAGACAACAATCCAATAATATACATTGTTTCTATTGTTGCTGTATCTCATTTACACAAAAGCAGAGCACCAACTACTTTTTTCTGCATCGGCATGAAGGATACAAAAACGTCAGAAATAAATGTACAGTATTTGGTTATGCCTTTTTGGTATGTGTATGTATGATTGATCGTATCAGTGCATGTGGTATCACTATTTGCATGGATGTATAATTGTATCTGCGTAACAGTCTGCTTTTGAGTATCACAGGGTCACTCTATTTATAAGCACTGGCTGCTCAATGTGTATGTGATGTAGAATGTGCATGTTTAGATATCACAGTCTCCTTTTTTTAGAAATTACATTTTTTTTTTTTTTTACATAGAGACAGGATAAAGTACATTATTAAAACATAAGCTTGAAACAAATTAAACAATAATGATCCTGCGTACCATATACAAATACTAATGTCAATTGTGCAAGAAAGTGATAGCAAGAATATCAGGTCAAGAATGCAGGATAAATACATTTCCCACGCCTTGAACATTGACACACTCCAGGCACACCTGTGAATCCTTCGTTTTTAATATACCGGATATGTCTGCATGGAAATAGAGTTAAATGTGTATAGTCAGAAAGGGAACATGCAACTGTCATAAGGGTGCTGCTAGGACCAATTGAAACAACATGCAATATACAGAATTCAACTTTTTTTCTCAAAAAAGGCAGTGTTTACATTGAAAAGTCTACAGAAACAGGCTATAGATCCCAAAACCATTACATTAAGCTATAGTTGTTCTGGTGACCATAGTTCCCTTTAAAAAAACATCAAAAGAAAACATCAAGATCAATTGTATATCATAATTAAAGGCAAATTATTATTACAAAATACCTGCACTGATGTTAACCCGTTAACGCCGTTACGGCGTTCTATGCTGTCCTGCATTAAGTGGGCTTTAAAGCCGTTGCGGCGGCATAGAATGCTGTAACGGCTTTGAGCCCCTAGATGTCCGCGGTACTCACCTCCGCCGCGATCTTCTTCTGGAGGGCTGCCTGACAGCCCAGGCAGCCCTCCCCCGGCAAATGAGGCCCCCGGGGGCCATGTGATCGCTCTCAAAGTGCGATCACATGGCCCCCTATAGCTGGCTGTGGATCTGCCTGCAGGGGGACTGTCTGAAATGTCAGACAGTCCCCCTGCTGGTGGGAAGTAGTAAAAAAAAGATGATTAAACAGGTTTTAAAATAAATTAAATGTATTTATAGATAATATATATATATATATATATATATATATACATCTTATATATATGTAACGTCATGCAAAGTGTATTTTAATATTAATATAAGTACATATATTAATATTAAAATACACTTAGAATGACGTTACATATATATAATATGGATATATATTATATATTTATAATGGATATATACACATATATTATATATATATATATATATATATAATATTATAATAAATAAATAAAATAATAAAATAAATAATAAAATATTGAAACTAAATTTAATATAAATTATATATTCATATGTAATTTCATTCTAACTGTATTTTGTTATTAATATATATATTGGTAACAAAATACACTTAGAATGACTTTCTATATATATCTATCTATATATAAAATACAAAATAACCGCAAATATAAAAATATATAGATAAATACATATAATTACATAAAAGATTACATTAGTATACACGTAGAATTGAAATACCTATAAATGCATATATATTAAAATTCTACATGTATATTTAAATAATCTTTTAACATAATTATGTGATTTGGTTAATTAAAATTTGATTGACATGCCTGACAACACAGGGAGAAAGTGCAGAGAATTTAATTTGCAAGCACTATATTTGACCCTGTAACTCTCCAAGACACCATAAAACCTGTACATAGGGGGTACTGTTTTACTCGGGAGACTTCGCTGAACTCAAATATTAGTGTTTCAAACTGGTAAATTGTATTACAATGATGATATTTTAAGTAAAAGTTAAGTTTTTTGCATTTTTTACAAAGAACGGCACTTTTATGGACTATATTATTGTTGTAATATGTTTTACTGTTTTAAAACACTAATATTTGTGTTTAGTGAAGTCTCCCGAGAATAACAGTACCCCCCATGTACAGGTTTTATGGTGTTTTGGAAAGTTAGAGAGTCACATATAAGGCTTGCATTTCATTTTTTTTGACATTGAAATTTGCCAGATTGGTTATGTTGCCTTTGAGAGCGTATGGTAGCCCAGGAATGAGAATTACCCCCATGATGGCATACCATTTGCAAAAGTAGACAACCCAAGGTATTGCAAGTGGGGTATGTCCAGTCTTTCTTAGTAGCCACTTAGTCACAAACACTGACCAAATATTAGTTTTTTGCTTTTTTCACACAAAAACAAATATGAACACTAACTTTGGCCAGTGTTTGTGACTAAGTGGCTACTAAAAAAGACTAAACATACCCCACTTTCAATACCTTGGGTTGTCTACTTTTTCAAATGGTATGCCATTATGGGGGTAATTCTCATTCCTTGGCTACCACACCGTCTCAAAGGTAACATTACTAATCTGGCAAATTTCAATATGAAAATGGAACGTTCTATATTTGACCCTGTAACTTTCCAAAACACCATAAAACCTGTTAATGGGGGGGTACTGTTGTACTCGTGAGACACCGCTGATTACAAATATGTGCATTTGTTTGCAGTAAAACCTAACAGTATTATGACATTCACAGCTAAAATGTCAGACGGAAATACAAATTTAAAAAAAAAATCTTATTTTCTCACATTTTTTTACATTTTATTCATAATAAATTATGTTCCATATATGAATAGTTAATGATACATTAAAGCCCTATTTCTCCTGAACAAAATGAAATATAATAAGTGTGGGTGCACTTAATGTGACAGCGGTGAATTACGGTTGAACAGACATATAGCGCAAATTCCAATTTTTGTTTACGTTTTGTTTTGATCAGAACGTGCACTGTTGACTCCGTCCTGAAGCGGTTAATGTATATGATTTTATGCTCGTGACTGTTTGTCTTGTTTAACCTTAAGGATGGAGGCAATTGTCCAAGTTTTGACCAAAACAAATCCTAGAATTTGCGCTAGAAGTCTGTTCAACCTCAATTTACCTTTCTTATTAAGTGCACCCATACATATTATATATATAGTTTTGCTCATGAGAAATAGGGCTTTCATTTCACATCAAATATTTATTCATGAAACATAATTTAAAATTAATACAATCTAAAAAAGGGTGAGAAATTAAGAAATGTTTTTTGTTTCAAGTTCTGCATTGCATTTTAACTGTGAATATCATAATACTGGTAGCTTTTACAGCAATAAAATATACATATTTGTATTAAAGGACCACTATAGTGCCAAGAAAACAAACTCGTTTTCCTGGCACTATAGGGTATTTGGGTCCCCCCCCCCCCACCCTCAGGGTCCCCCTCCCACCAGGCTGAAGGGGGAGGAAGGGGTTAAATTCTTACCTTTCAGGTCCGGGCACCCTCGGCGCTGGGGACTCTCCTCCCTCTTCCGACGTCATCCACGCACGCATTCAGTCAGTCCATAGGAAAGCATTCTCAATGCTTTCCTATGGACAGCAGCGTCTTCTCACTGTGATTTTAACAGTGAGAAGCGCCGCTAGCGGCTGTCAATGAGACAGCCACTAGAGGTTGGATTAACCTATATGTAAACCTATATGTAAACATTTACAGCTGCAGGGTTAACGCTAGATGGACCTGGCACCCAGACCACTTCATTGAGCTGAAGTGGTCTGGGTGCCTATAGAGGTCCTTTAAGCAATGTTTCATGAGTACAACATTACCCCATGTACAGATTCTATAGTGTTTTGCAAAATAACATGGTCAAATATATGGATTACCCCCTCTAAGTTTTTACACATTGAAATTTGCCAGATTTGTTTGCAGGGCCTTGTGACGAGACCAATCTCGCCACATTGCATTGGAGAAGCCTGGTTGCTCGCCTGCTGCCTTTGGACTATGGCCCCCTGTTAAAAGACATATTTTTTCCCTGCAGAAAAGCTTCATTCGTGCTTTTCTGCCTGGGGTTCGGTAGATTTGTTTGAATGTGTTATACCCCAGATAGGAATCCCATGGAGCCCATTTGTATAAACTGACTGTTAAGACTTTGGCTCCATGGCGATTAAACTGTATTTGTGTGGTCTGAGCGCCATTCACTTAATAATGTGCACTCAGACCTGAGCTATCTGGGGATATGTTAAATGTCTGTGTTTTATGTATAAATGTGACTTTATGTATTTTAAAGTGTTTTGTGTCTTTTTGCAACCATGTGCTTAATGGAGTCTTGTGTCTGTCCTGGGAGATAATTGAATTACTTATATCCAGGATAGAAGACTCTGAAACTGGTTTGGGCCAGAAAGCCATGCTTCATTTAGTCACAAAGGACTTTTTACTAACTTTTGAACCCCTGGTCTGATTCATGCCATTTTTTAATATGTTGTTCCCCTGAATGGATTGATTGTGAATATGTAATTTTATGTGAATGTGATGTATGGTTTTAGAGTTATGAAAGTTGGGTAGAAAGTATGTTTTAACTGTATGTGTAATTGAGTTTCCTCTCAGGATAAGGGGAGGGAATATGTTGGATGTAACTGTGATGTGATTGGTTGTTTTATACCTCCCTGTGGGCGGTCCTGTATTTGCAAGACTGTAATAAAAACCAGGCTGGGTGTGCCAGCACCTCAGACCACTGCTTGACCCTCAACACAGAGCCTTGTCTCGTTCTTGGGGGGATTCACTGTATGCTGTTAGAGACTGATTGCCAGGAGTGTAAGCCGCTTGGGTGCTTTTCCTGTTCGTCTGCTAGCAGCTATTTGGGAGGTTCCAGTTCGGGAGTTGGAGTGCCATTTTGTATCCAGTTCGGGAGTTTGATGTTCTGCAGTAGCTGTGCCTGTATCTCTGGAAAGGGGGCCGATCGCCTAAACGGTTTTTACCCCTTGTGTGCAAAACGGTCCGTTACAGGCCTATGTTGCATTTCAGACCAAATGACAACCCAGGAATAAAAATTACCCCCATCACAGCATACCAGTGGCAGAAGTTGACAACCCAGGGTATTCAAAATAGGGTATGTCCAATATTTTTTAGAAGTCACTTAGTCACAAACACTGCCATTTCACCAATGATATCACTGTGGTAATATTTTTTACTGCTCTGAAATACTCATATTTGCATTCAGTAATGATTCAAGTGCACAACAGAACCCCCATGTACAGGCTTTATGGGGTTTTGGAAAGTTATAAGGTCAAATAAAGGAATTAATAAAATTGCATAGTTATGTTAAAATAATACATAAACATACACATATAATAAAATGTGAACACTGATAGTACACAATATTGAGTTCAGTCTGGTAACCACATGGAATAATGGAAACTTGGTTAAGACCTGGCACCTGTTTTGAACAACTTTTATATTAACTATAGGTAACATCAACCCCCCTATGAGTTCTAGGAACTCGAGAACTCGAAGTAGCAGCCACAGAAGATTATGAAGATATAGTTTTATTACAAGATAAAAGTATAAAAAGTTGCAAATTACAGTATCACAGTAAACTATAAAGAAATTCACTGCAAAATCTTTCCATCCAAGTCCTGTTTCACCGATAAGCGCCTTCTATTGTTTAAAAGTAAAAAAGTAATCCAAAAATAATAAATGATTTGAAAATCTGATCCAACAACATTAAATCGAGGCCTGCGCCTGTACATAGGGCTGCTGTTGTACGCCTGCTATTACGACCACTTACACAGACTATTTATATTCATGCCAAGCAACCTGTATATTTCTTCCCGTTTAATTAATATAACTTATAAGGTGATAATTACCCACATGGTTATTTACTAGAGAACAGCCCTTAAGCTGTTTTTACATCTAATTAACAGTTATGCCTAGGAAAACAGGGAGCCCAAAGTCATGACCTTGAGTTATTGTTAAAAAGCCGAATTAACCACTCTATTTTGGCCCTACGGGTTCTGCTAACTTCCTGAGAAACATTATACTTCTAACCTTGAGTCAGCCCTTTTTAACCCATCTGGAGACATTTTAAGAGTAAAGGGGTTACTGTACAAATTGAAGCACAATATCTATTATTATAAGAAAAAAAGCAAGAAATCAAAAATACTCATTGTGCCACAGTGTGCAAATAGCCAGGAGCTTCCAATTAGGACCACTACGCTAATCTCTGTCGAGTCACACACCTTTGAAGAATGCATTGGTCTCAGCCAATGAGTGCGGCCCTTCACTGCCAGGCTTACTACAGCGGCAGTAGGTTCAAGACACAGGGAAGGGCGGAAAGTGCCCAGCGGGACTCAGTTAAGTTGTGAAACCACCCTTAAGTGAGCTGTAGTTATTATGGTGTTTAAAGTATCACCTTGAGCTTAGCCTCATATTTGCATTAGAAATGCAACTCTCTAAAATTTGTAAAAACCAAATGACCTGAGCCCATGTTTTTTCCCTGGAGTTAAAGAATGGCTTGAGTAGAAATGTTGCCACCTTAAGGATTAAACACAACAAAGGTTGTAGAATGTGCCTTTCAGGTTAAGGAATGAGACACTTGATGGCCTTGTAGGTGTCTTTCTGTCATCAGAATCAATATGAGGTTTTTATTTAAACGACTCTTTGTAAATCTTAAATAATAGATATAAAATGTGATTTTCTGCTGTCTCGTGATTTCTCGTATTTGCTCCCATGTAAATTACCCATTCTCGTTCTCCAGAGAACCAACCATCTACACATTATTGCTTGAAATTACAGCTCTGAATCCAGTTTGAACTAAATATACAATTCTACTGGGCTGTATGCCATAAACAAATTTTACTTTGTCCCACAACCTCAGAGCTCATTTGGCTCTGTAAAAAAAAAAACCGAGCCAAATATGCTATCAGTATAATTTCCTACTCTAAAGCTAACCATTTAGGGAGTGTTTCACCTGTGACACACTCTTTGCAATTACTTTAAACTAGACAAGAAGCATAGAGGCCATGTTTTGAGTAACCAACTACTGAATAGTCTAAAAATACGATGTTGGCAACTCAACAGAATTTTGCTACATGGTGCTTGACAAATGAAACTTGGTTCTATAGGCCATTTAATATTTATAAGACATGTAATATTATAATAGAAACTGTATTTATTGTTTCTTATATATTTGGCAGAAAGTCCAATGCCAGAAAGCCTCACACTGAAATGTTTTATATTTTTAGTATTTTATTTTGCATTTTTTTTGAGAATATTATTTTTATTCGTTGTTCAATTTTAGGAAACAGTGAGACTCGCAGGTCTCCAGGGTGAATTACTTTCA